GGAGACCGAGAGAACCGAAGCTAAGACCCATTCCTGATGTTTGTCTTCTTATTTACTGACTGCTGATGGACTTGGATCTTTAATTCAGAGCCATCCTGCTTTTAACTGCTTTAATCTTCCATGAGTCCTGTCTGGTCCACCTGCCTTCTTCTTCTTGAGTCCTCTCATTTCTGGCTGCAGAGGGCAAAAAAAGCATCAGTCTGTTCTGTTCCACACATTTTTCCCCCTAAACTGCTTTCTAAATGTTATGCTCTGCTCCGCTGTGCTCGACTCTCACTTCCTCTCACCCCTTCCTCCACTGACCCTCTCCCCCGTCCCACTAATCACCTCTCCACACGGCCTACCTGCATTCTGCCACAACCTCATTTTTCTCTCTCCGTCTTGCTGCCTGCCTCTCTCTGGGTGTCTCATTAAAGGCGCTCTATCTAATGAGATTACGCCGTGGGGATTAATGGTGTGGCTAATTGATAGACACACAGCCGGAGAGGATTAAATCCCTTTAAGTCTCAAGTGGGGGCTTTTTTTTGTGGGGGGTGGGGGCGTTTCAGCTAATTGAAATCACAGGAATGGACACACATACTCTCCCTGACCCACACCAATGCACCGCTCCACCAGTTCTTCCTTTGCGGTGCAATGAAATGACCAATAATAGAATGGGTTTATTAGAAACTGAAGCTCTACCCAAACAAAGAAGTTAAAGATTAACTTCCTAACAATTGACAGAAAATAATAATTCTAGGAAGTCTACTCTGCTTCAAATTCTTTTTTGTAGTGGAAAATAAAAAAGGTCCATCGATCTAGTGTTCAAAATGAAGCTAATTGTTTCTTTGTACACATTAAGGTACAAATAAAATACTGATTATATATATTTTTTGTAAACCCACACAATCCAGATGAAACTGAGCTCCAGCAACATCTGTCCCAGCGACAGGAATAGCTCATAAGAGAAGTAAAGCTGTGTCAGAAATGACTTTTAAAAACCAGTTCACAGAGGCCCATTAAAATTTAAAGCTTTGAGCAGAAATACATTAAAAAAGATCAATGCTAAACAAACAAGGCCATTATACATAATTCAGCACACACCCGCAGGTATGTGTAGAGGGAATATATTAAAAAAAAGATGGCACATTTTCAAAACATGTGTTGTTTATTTCCTAAAGCACACATCCAGTATCTAGATGAATAAATAAAAGACTTCCAGTACCTTTAATAATATAATATCAGCAGGCATGGCTAATGAGCCTCCAAATGTCCCAAGGCAAGAGGGCGACTGAGAGAACACGTCTGTCAGCGACGGGTCAAACGGTCCAGTTTTCATTTAACAATGGGCTGAACAGTGCAAGTGAAAGAAAAACAACTGGAACAAATAAAAATAATAAAATAAAGTAAGTAAAAGCAGGCATTTTAGAAATAAAATTAGTTTAATTTTAAGTTAAAAGGATAGTTCAGATCTTCTGAAGTATGGTTCTGTGAAAAGGTTATGATGAACAATTAATCTCTGTTGTAGGTAGCTTTGAATGACGTCACACGATGTGCACGCAGATGCACGCGTGCTCCCAAAATGATCTTTGTATTTCCTTGAAACTACGGCAATGCTTGTGGCGATGCTTTCATCCACATGGAAGTGCAGAAAACGACCCAAAACGTTGTAGTAACTGTGCCAAGCCTGTGAGCGGCGCTGTAACGCTGCCACAAAAATTCACCCAAAACAGGAAACAAGGCGTGAAGCAGACTCATAAATCTTATGCACCGGATACAAAATGTGAACAGGAGGCAAACACAAGAGCATAAATAAATCCTTGGTGTGGACTGAGGATGAATTGGAACTTTTACTTTGTGTAACATTAAACTACAAGTTTAACGCGACCACGGAAAGTGCTGACAGAGTTGTGTCAGTCCAGATATGGCCACAAAACTGACGTTTCTCAGGCCTGTTCAGCAGAGGATGGCTACAGGGAAGCATTGTTCTCCTGACAGTTAAAGCACAGCAGGCTAAATTCTTCATATTCAAATGTCAGTCTTTTAAAACTTCTCTAACTTCCATCATATTTAACATTATACCTGATCTTTTTCTGCAACGTTTGCTTTAGTATTGTTGATAGAAATTGTCGTTGAGCAACTAGAATCTGCAACACAAACGCTGCATGTGTCGTTACGCTTGACGCGCTTCAGATTGTTCAGATCGTTTTCAAAATGTTTGGCTGTCCTCACAAAAACCCAAGGATGGAATTTTATAATTATTTATTTTACACTGGAAGCTGATAAAAAAATAAAAAATAAAAAAAAACTTTTTTGGAGCTCCTAAAATGTTCCTGTGAGGACGAAGCTTCAGTTTAGAAAAATCAAGATTAATTCTGATCAGATTAAAAAGTTAATGGCTCAAATGATCATGGCCAAAGTGGACTGCTGGTAAAACTCCACACCACAAGATTTTACAACATTTTACACGAATGTTGTGTTTTAAACCACTACACCTCTGTTAGTTTTAAATTAGTCCAACACAAGTGATCAAATATTTCTACTGGATGTGCTCCAGGCTGCACCAGGGGTCACAACAACAACAAATACCAAGCAAACAACAAATTTTATGCACATAATGTGACAGGAAACTGATTAACAAAAAGAAAAATATGCATAAAAGTGTTTGCATGAATCTCCAAGTAATTCTTAATAGCGGAGTAGTTTTAAGCAATCCACTTTGTGGCTACATTCAAACTAGCTATTAGCTCAAAAATCTGGTCAGAATTTAAACTTCATTTCTCCAAATGAAGATTGTTTAAAGAGATAAAGTTAAATGTTCATAGCATTTGTAAAAGAGGTATAATTTAGTACAACTGAAAAAATGAAAAGTTTTTACTTTTATTTGATTTTTTTTAAACCACCAAAATCTCTTCTAGAAGCAGAGTCAGAAACCCCCACCTCGAGTGGGGAGGGTCTAAATCAGGGCTATTCAACTAAATTGCTCAGGGGGGTCACAGTTACTGAAAGCCAAGAGCTCAGGGGCCGGACATCCAGCAGTTATTGTCATTAAGAAAGTTTGTTTTATGGTTTAAAATCTAGTTTTATTTAAAAATGAACCCATTGGTGGGCCGAACTGAGCTCACCTGTGGGCCTGATTTGGCCCCCGGGCCACCAGTTGAATAGCCCTGGTCTGAAATAAAAAGCCACACTGTAGTTGAATTGTAAACAGTGTCCTGCAGGCCATGTGTGAAAGTTTGATACACTCAAAACATATAAAACAGAATAAAAATACCAAAAAGTGTTTGCTTCATTTAATTTGAACTGGACTTGATGCAAAATAATAAAAGCATACATAAATTAAAAAAAAAAAGCTGAACAGCATAGCGTGATAAAAATAAATCTGAATGAATAAAATGTAAACCCTCACACTGAGCTTAGCAACAAGAAGGAAAATGGTTTATTTGATTTCAAAAATATAAAATAAATACCCAATTGGTCTGCCACAGAAGGTTCACCGAGGTACATTATTTGATAAAACTACTTGCCACACTTCCTGTTGCGCTCTGATGCTGATGACCAGTAAACTTTCCCACCGGGTGATTTTAAACAGGCAGCTCTTTAAGCTCCCGTCTGTTAATCTGAATGTAAAGTGCTCTGTTCTGCTGCGGCTGTTAGCAAAATATCAACTGCTTTAAAATGGGAGTGGTGATCATACCGGTGATGCTTTGGTACACACTTATATCGTCACACCACAAAAACCGCTTCAAAGATCTGAAGTATCCCTTTAAAAACAGATTCACAATTTACAAATGAATGGTCCAAAGGGCTCGAAAGGGAGAGCAGCAACCTTTCTGCGATCAGTACTTCAAAAATACGTATCTTACAGTATTTTTTTATTTTCTCAGTGTCTTTATACAGAGTATATTCATATAGTTTCAGCTGACTAGTTTCACATTCTCACCACAGAGTAACGAGTGCTTTGAGTAAAACATTTGGAGGAAAAATAAAAGATCATGCACCTTTTTAGTAAGTTTCGTTGGCCTATTAAAAACAGGAATGTTCAAGGCGACAGAAGAATCTCTCTCGGGCGCCTTTGTTCCGTTAGGCGCCGCTCTCCTAATGCTCTCGGACTAACCGGGCCATGCCTACGTAAGCTTTACACCGTGGAGTCTGCAACATGAAACCGAACAGGGCAGGCAAGCGTCTCAACACAAAGGCTCTGAAACCCATGAGTTCACAGAAGAAAAAGGCAAGCATTCTCCAGTAAACTATAAAAACCCCCCACATGTAGAAAAATGTAGCTGTTAGGTGATTTTTGTGAACGGGGGGGGGTTCCCACACGTACTCTTATTGGCTTCTTTCAGGCCATAAATGAATGTTATGATGTCCGATAGACGCCCTTGGATTGTGTCCTTCCCTCCCGGGCTGCTGGGGTTGTTCCTGTGCAACGCTGTCAGAGGGAGGGGAGAGACAGGCAGGGCTGGTCTGAGGAGGGGAGGGGGGCGCAACACGCCTCCGTAGTACTGCACAAATGGCAACCGATCCTGAGATAGCAGGAGTCTGATACAAAAACACACCACAAAAGGCACTTTATAAAATGACAGTGCTTCTGTTCTAAGGAAATTCAAGTTGACAGAGTTAAAGAGAGTCAGTGAGCGCCGTCCCGACAACATTCTTCTCTTCAGTGTGAGACTAAAGCAGAGGAGAGAGTTTCGTTTGAACAACCGATCAAAGCACAAATTCACTACTCGTGGCTCTCGTGACCGCCTTGATTTGTCCCCAGAGAAATCCAGGTCCAGCGCGGCGAGAGAACAAAAAAAAAAAAGTAAAGTTTCACACTACAAACTTGCCACTAAAACCATAAAGCCAGAATACAGTTGCATCAGAGCAGAGTTCACTGCTGCGGGCCTGGTCGCCTCGAGCCGACTACTGCAGCCCATGTGAGGGTACATTCTTCCACTTATTCCCCACCACCTCTTCTGAGCCCCCCAACACCCCCCACACAGCCATGCACAGTCCTCCACCCCTCTGCTCCGCTCTCAGTCATCGTCTCCGCCCCCGTAGAGATCTGCCAGCTTCTTGAAGCGAGGACCCCAGTCGTTGAGGTAGTCGTAGTCCTGGTCTCCTGAGCTGCTGGAGTTGAGCGAGCTGACGGAGCCGGCGGTTGAACCGCTGCCCTCGTAGTCGAACACCAGCAAGGAGTCGTAAGGGGGGGCAGTGGGGTCGTTGTCGGCCGCTCTCAGACCCTACAGACAGAAAATAAATAAAGAAAACTGTATTGAGGATAATCATGAAAGTTAATGTACTTGGCGATACAGACTCAAATATTTTCACAACATCTCAAGCATATTTGCAATAACATCATTCATTATGATAGTAGTTAAAACTTTTAGCTCTTCAGCAGTCTACACAATCCCCTGCCATCTTATAAAACTGATTTTAAATGGAAAATCTTTGAATCAAACCTAAAATATACTCTGAGCGCTAACAGGTCACACACATTTTCAAGGTTTGACCAGAAAGTCTTTTAATAATAATAAAAATGTGTTGTCATCATTGTATGTTCCCATACTATGATGAAACTGGCTCTGCATTTAACCCATCCACCTGCAGGTGGAGCAGTGGGCAGCTATTGAAAGCACCCGGGGAGCAATTGGGTGTCCTGCTCAGAGACACCACGAGATGTGCAATGACTGGGAATCAAACTGGGACTTTCGGGTGCCCTGCCTCTACCCCATCTTGGCTCCTAAGTTATGATTCTTAACGTAAGATACAGTAGTCCCTCGATACTTCGTAGCTCAACTTTCACGGACTCACTCACTCTTTTGCGGGCTTTTAATGTAAGAGTGTATACGACAGATGATTGGCTGATTGATAGAAGGTGACCAATGAGAACATTGTGCTGAGGGACGGACTGGTCATCAGGAGCACTGGGACATTTCCCGATGGCCTGGTCCGCTCAGTGATCACAGAAGTGTTTAAATAAACAATCCATGCCGCTCACTCAGGTATCCGCCTCACTGAAGCTCCCACAGCAGCGATGGGGAAAGACAGGCCCTGCCCCTCCTTTCTCTTTCTGAGGCTGTCTGTCACAGCAGAGCAGAGACACACAACAGGCGCAACCTAAGCTCTGTTGTGAGCTTCAGTGAGGAGGATACCTGAGTGAGCAGCAAGGATTGTTTATTTAAAATAATCAAGCGCAACCAGAACTGAGACTTTGGTCCAGCCCCTTGGTGATTATTGAGTAGGCCAGGCCACCAGGAAATGTCCCTGTGCTCCCGATGGCCTGTCTCGATGGCCCCATGGTGTAGATTGGCTCAGTAACCATAGCATCAGTCTGTCTGCTTTTTTAGAGTTTAGAACATTGTTCAGAACATTGCAAGCCTTAACTTATATATAAATACTAAAATAAATATAATGTCCCTACTTCACAGATTTTCACCTATGGTGGGTGTGTGTGGAATGTAACCCCAGTGATAAGAGAGGGACTACTGTAATCGAGTGGTGTGCAGTGCACATTCCTTTAAATTAACTTGCACTTTTTCCCGGTTCACAAAAAGAGGCTCCAGAGTTCCTGCAGTAAACAAAGACCTATTGTTATTCACGAACAACATAATGGAGGAACTGATTTTCCACATGGGAAAACAGATTCAGGGTGCAAGACTTTAAAAAATGCAATAAACGGGTCTTATCTGGTCCACCCAACCATAAGGTTTTTAATGATCTTTCATAGCCTGAATGCTGATAGAGGCAAACACTTATTAGTTATAAAGAAACGAAAGATGAACCTTAAAAAATATAGCAGCTGTTAGAGAAGCATCAAATTATGAAAACCAATCCACCCAAAATCTCTGAGTTTCTGTTTTCTGAGCACGCTATAGGAAACAGTTTTGGTCTAAAACCTACATCATTTATGAAGTCTCCTATGTCTCCTGGGTGGGGCAGACTGGGTCTAACAGGATACTGCGACTCAGCAATCACAGGCCTCTCATCCACCCTGCGCACCCCTGATGGCTTACTAATGATGTGGTCCAGAGACTCCGGCTGCTGCAGCTGACTCAGGTCGTAGTCCTGGAAGAAGACCAGAAAAGGAGAGTCGGTGATGATGAAAAAAAGCTGCTTGTGTCAACAGAGGATAGGATCACACTGATTTGTATTTGGCCACATCTGTTGGCGTTGTTTGAAATTCTTTTTGCATGAGTCAAACATGAAGAAAATGAACGCTCGTTGAAAACAGGTTTGGTCGGGTGATGTTTCTAGATGTAGTCAAATAGTCATGATGTGTTCCTGTTACTGTCTGTTTTGAATGTTTTGGGTAGATGTGTGGGAAGTTATAGCATGCATAAGCACAGTGCATGCTTTGTTGCTATGATGTCATCATCTTCTTGTTTTGTTATCCGTGTGGTTCATTCAACCTTTATATTACAGGTTAATCCCATTGAGCCTTGGGGACAAGACAGACCTGAATTTAACAGTGATGACAACAGTGGACAACAAAGACAACAACAGACAATCATAAAAGGATGCATACAAACTGAGAATAACAAGCGAAAATAAAATATTAATTAAAAAAAGTAACAAAATAAACAGCTAGGTTGTAAAGCCACGTAAAAATAACAAGAACATGTCTGCATTGGTTTTTACCAGGAACTTAGCAGATGTTTGAAGCCACTTAGAGAGGTCAAGGTCGAGAGCTTCAGATCTTCTTGCAAGATATTCCAGGAAACAGGAGCGGAGTAGGAGAAGGCCCTTTTGCCTAGTTTAGTTTGCACTGAGGGAACACTGCATGTAATAATGTCCTTACGCTGTAGCTGCACTGACAAAGTGACATGTAGGAGGAGATGTATGAAGGCAACAGACCAAGTAGTGATTTAAATATGAAAATGTACCAGTGAGAGAGTTTACATGAAGTTAATGATGACCAGTTAACCAGTGAATACAGGGTGCAGTGGTGGGTATGGTAGTTACAGCCAGTTATGAATCTTAGTGCATCATGATAGACAGCATCCAACATCTGCAGGGTTCTTGTAGGAGCGCTCATGTAAATAATGTCACCATAGTCAATGGAGGGAAGGAGTTACACAGTTACAAGGCATTTCTTAGCATTCAGAGTTAAACAAGATCTATTTCTGAAAAAGAAACTCAGTTTAACTTTCAGTTTCAGTGATGTTCTATTCTCATCCATGGTTGAGCTGCAATATATCTGTGGTGTTCACCAACATCATATTGCCTCACTTCGTCCACTAGTGATCTCTCAATGCCATTCTTCTGTAAGCACCTTACGATGATTTCACTCACCATCTTCTTGGTGTTCTTTTTTGTGCCAGTGCTCTCAGTTTCTCTGCACTCAGGTTGGCTGCTTATTTTCTGCTCTCCTCATCTTTGAATAAAGTCTAAACCAAACTCACAACAGCAGCTCAGACATCTTTCATGTCCATTGTTTTGGAATGAATGATGGACAGAGAAGTTGGTCTGATAAAGGCACACATCATGTGACCAGACAGCGTGCAACTGAGACTAAGCAACACTGATGTTGCCCATCGATGAGGGATTTTAGTAGAAAATGTAATTTTATAACTCATAACTTCATGCATCAGCCTGTCATGAATGAAGGTCAGTGACAAACTAGTATGCAGCCTTCTATTTTTCTTCTTACATAGTATTGGGATTTTACATAAACCTTTTAGCCTTTTCTCAATTTTTTACCCTCCTCTAACAGACATGGTTTACCAGACTAGGTATTCTTTTCTTTTGACAATGTTTGGAGTGACTGTAAACAACTTGTTCTTGTGTCTTGTTTGTTTGAGATTTTTAGTTGTAATGATGGCAACGTTGTAATATTTGTGTATTGTTTGTGGGTATGGACCCAGGAAGAATAGTCTCTACTGCAGTAAAGACCAATGGGGATCCTTAAATACAAACAAAAAAAATGTTTGCAGTTTTTTTAGATGAGTGTTTTTCTGGACTGGAACTGAACAGGTAATGTAAGCATACCTTAATAAGTTATTCAAGTAGTTAGGGGTGATGGATCCTTGGAGGGAGCAATTTTATCCACAACTAGACACAATGGAAGAGTTATTGGGTGGCCAATGGTGGCCTTGAACAGTACTGATTAATCTTCTGCCACCGCGCCAGCCACTCTAATCAATTGAGGAAACTCTAGTTTTAAGCAATATAAAACTAGAAAGCATAATTTCCTGAAATGATAGTGGTGGCCAGTTTACATATATACATACAGTATATACATATATGGTAACGACAATTATTGACCTTTCTTACACCTAGTCTGTATCTCACTTATTTATCCAGTTATCAAGCTCACAGGCTGAATGGACAGATGTTGTTCCAATTTCCCTCTTGGCTCCACGACAGGGAACAAAAACAAACAGTGTAGACATTATTTGTACTTTTTCAATGCCACAAATACTCAGTACGTATGCAGTTGCAACTACACGAGATAAACAACAATGTATTTATATAGTACATTTGTGGTGCACACACAGAGTACCACTGATAGGCAGCTCTAATAATATGAATAATACAGACGAACAATGCCAGTGCAGAAAGTGTGTTTGCAAAGTGTAGCATGTGATTGTGTAACACTGTTTGGTCACTGCTCTGTAACTTGTTATTGTGTGTGTGTGTACGCACACACACACACACACACACACACACACACACACACACACACA